CAGGGTCTTTCCCACACCTTGCCCTGTTCATCTCTTCTATCTGGCTATTCCTGAGTGATATTCTTTTGCAATAAATTGATGATCTAGTAAAATAATATGTTTATCTGAGTTCTTTGAGCCACTCCAGCAAATGGATCGAACCCAGGGAAGAAGTCATGGGACCTCCCATCTATAGCTGGATGGTCAGAAACACAGGTGACCACCTAAACTTGCAACTAGCATCTCAAGTGTGATGTGCAGTCTCAGAAGGGCTGAAAGTCTGATGGGTGGGATCTGATGCTCCCTCCAGATAGATACAATTGCGTTGAATTGTTGTAGGACATCCCAATGGTGTCAGAAACTTTCTTGGTGTTTGTGTGTGGGAAACCCCCTCTTGCACACGCTGGAATTTGTTGATTACAGCAGGTTAAATGCAAAGAAAATGCCTCCTTTTATGGAGCTTCACTTCATTGTGCTTTGCAGATAGTGCATATTTTGCAAATCAAAGGGGTTTTGGAATCCTGCATTGAGCCAGTCCATCAGTTCATTTTTCCAACAGCATTTGCTCGTTTGGCGTCTGTGTCACAGTTTGGTAATTCTTGCAATATTTCAAACATTTTCATTATTATTATATTTAAATTGCTGCAATCTCATGATAAAATTCAAATGGATGAGGAGTTGCTTCTTATGGATGAGCAAAGAAAATGTCTTCTTGAGCTGGAATTCACTCCTAGTAAGGATGGTGTGAAGATTCTTGAAATGGCAACAAAGGATTTAGAATATTTCATAAACTTGTTCTCTAAAAGAGTGGCAGGGTTTCAGAGGGTTCACTCCAATTTTGTAAGAAGTGCTACTGTGGGTAAAATTCTACCAAACAGCATAACATACTACAGAGAACCCTTCGTGAAAGGAAGAGTTACTAGTGCAGCCAGCTGCACTGTTGTCTAATTTAAGAAATTGTCACAGCCACTCCAGCCTCCAGTAACCACCACCCTGATCAATCAGCAGCCCCCAATATGAAGGCAGACCCTCTAGCAGCAAAAAGATTACTACTTGCTTAAAGTTTGGAGGATGATTAGCTTTTTTAACCATGAAATATTTTCAATTAAGATAAGTACATTTTAAAACAAAAGATAAGTACATTTTTTTGACATAATGCTTCTGTGTATTTATTAGCCTATAGTATAGTATAAATGTAACTTCCATATGCACTGGGAAATGAAAACATTCGTTTGACTCACTTTATTATATTTGCTTCATTGTGGTGGTATGGAAGTAAACCCACAATATCTCCGGTTATGTTTGTAGAAGGAGGGAAATACTAAAATGATATGCTCATAGAGAGAACCAGAAAAGCCAAAAGTTACTTTTTGAAAACTTTATAAAATTGATGAGCCCCTGTAAAAATGAGAAACAGAAAGAACAAACTAAAGAAAGAACAAATTTCCAGGATCTTGTAAAAAGATGGTAATGACAATAAGGACATTATGAAGAAGCTGATAAGCAACTGGACATTGGAACAACCTGGATAAATCTTACTTACCAAAGCTAACACAAAAAGAAATAGACAATTTGAGTAAACCTATATGTATTTTTAAAAATTAGCAGTTAAATTTAAAATCCTTCCCACACCAAAACAAACAAACAAAAACAATGTATTAGACTTCAATGATAAATTTTGCCAAATATTTAAGGGGGAAAAAAAAAAGAAAAACTACAAAATCTCCCTGAGAATAGATACAAAGAAAGATTTTCCAAATCATTTTATGAAGCAAAAAGTCCTGACAAGGACATTATTCTAAAAAATGAATAAAATATTCAAACTGAATCCATATACATACATTATGACAAGATAGTTCATCGAAACATAATTTTAATTTATCATTTGAAAATCAATAAGTGTGATTCCTAACATTCAGGAGAAAAAAGATATAAAACATGTCGTCATTTCAGGAAATGCAGAAGAAGCACCTAATACATTTCAACAACTATCCATAGTAGTAAGGAATATAAAAAGTTTTTATCAAATTTGAAAAAGTGCTTAATCTGATTTTTAAAAAAGTGAACATGAAGCACACAGCAATTATTATAACTAATATTAACTCCTGAATAATTCTTGTCTGATATAAGTAAAAAGATGGGGGGTACCTGGGGGGTGCATTCTGTTAAGCATTCGACTCTTGGTTTCAGCTCAGGTCGTGATCTCAGGGTCACGGGATTGAGCCCCACATCTGACGCCATGCTGAGCTGGGATTCTCGCTCCCTGTCTCTCTGCCTCCCCGCCCACTGCTCTTACTCTCTCTCTCCCAAATAAATAAATAAACCTTTAAAAAAAAAAAAAGATGAGAATGTCAGCTGTCAATAGTTCTGTTCATCCGTGTACTGGAGGTCACAGTCAGTGTAATTGGACAAGAAAATGCAGTAAAAGATGGAGGATTGGAAAAAAAAATTGAAATTTTCATATTTAGTGATGTCAGGAGATTACGTATAGAAAATCCAAAGGATCTACCGATAAAATATTAAACATAATAAGTTAATTTAACATGAATACTAGAAGCAAAGAGAAAATATTTTAAACATATTTTTATATACTAGCAGAAATTGCACAGACATGTGCACATACACACTCCCTCAAAAAGAGTTGGAAAGCCCTTGTATTTGAGAGTGAGGATCTATTTCTGAAGGCCATTCATTCAGAGGTCATAATTAAATTATGGGTGCATTGAGGTTTTCTAGGAGGACAATCAGAGGAAAATCATAAGCCCAAAAAACCACCTTGGAGGGATGATTTGGAGAAGGGAGGCGACAAGGAGAGTAAATAAAAGGTATAAGAAGAAAATGAAGGAGCTATTGCAAGACATCAGAGATCACAGGACTATCAGAATTTTTAAGCAACTAAAGTTCCAGCCCAATTGATTCAAAAGGAAAAATGAAACGTGTTAGATCCCAATAACTAAGATACTCAGAGGAGGACAGTCTGCAGGTATAGCTTGATCTGGCCTTTGGCCCTCTCTTCCATCATTCTGTTTTATTTGTGAACTCCATTCCTGGGTCAGCTTTGCTTTTGGAACAAAACTCTATAGCGAAGTTTTGAACTTTGAAAGCATATGATGCCATCCAAAGAGAGAGCCCTTCCTTCCTCAACCACCAAATGGAAACTCAGGCTCTAGTTGGATTGGACCAAATTAGGTCACATACACACTATGAACCAGTTATTCTAACTAAGCAGGGGGATGAAGTTATGTTCATTATCTTAGACCATGATTCTCATCTGGAGTCCATTTTGCTCCATAGGAGACATTTGACAATGTCTGAAGATGCATTTGGTTGTTAGAACTGGGGAAGTGTTACTGGCATCTAGTGGGTAGAGGCCCAAGATTCTGCTCAAAATCCTATAGCACACAGGACAACCCTCCCTAACAGAGAAGTTTCCGGCCCAAAATGTCAATAGTACAATGCTGAGAAATCTTTAGAGAAGCGTTTCTAAACATATTTGTACATCAGAACGAGCAGAAATGTTTGTTACAATACAGATTTCTGGTTCCTATTCCTGCATTTCCTGATTCAAGAGGTCTAGGGTAGGCCTGAAGACTTCTGTTGCTAGCAAGCTTATAGGTACTAGTCCTGCTGCTAATTCATCATCACGCTCCAAAAAACACACTCATTGGGGCCCCAGGTGGTAGCTAAGTGTGCCTCGCTCTAAGGTAAGGTGCAGTGTAATGTGTCCTGAGAGTGACCAGCTGTGCTAACGGAGAAGAGAGGAAGCTACGTATTTCTCCTAACCTTCCCCAATCCTAAAGTTCACATTCTCCTCGAATGGGAAAATTGCTTCCAGTACTTTCAGCTTCCCCAAAGTCTCTGCTTATTCTGACCTCCCTTCCCAAATTTCTATAAAAAATACACTCAAAGTTTCCCCGTCCTTCCTCCTCATGCTGTTTTAATAAAAATGAGTTTGAATTTTTTAAATGGGGCTTCTAAAAAACTATGGAAGAGGCAAAAGAATGATGAAACATCAATGTAAATCAAATATGACTGAATTGCTACAGCACAGATATTTTTTTTAAAAATCCCTCTTGAGTCTTTCACGGGGGTATTTAACCCCCTGCTGTGTTACTCGCCTTCCTCCATCCTGCTTCTCCTCCTCACTGGAACATGGGGAGCAGGGGCCCATCCAGAATCTCAGCAGCTGGACTGTGGTCACAGCAAGGACTTGAGATATTTTCTCTAGTAGGCTTCAGGGCAGAAAGGAGTAGAGCATGGTATTTTTTTTGTAATTGAGAAATATCTTAGAAAGAGGGAAATTGAGAATATCAACTACGGGGTTGGGGAGAAGAAAAGCTATAAACTTTGAAAAAAAAGCCCGTCAATGTGGCAATTACATCAACTCAGACCATTTTCAATGAGCAAATGCTCATGCACAGAAGAGATCTTGCCAGAGATCCACCTGGGGCAAGCTCTTCTCTCAAGGAACTCACAAGTAAAGGGAGAAGAAAGTCAGAAGTAGCTCAACGCCATGGGTACAGAGTGAAGTAGATCTCTGCGTGATGCCACACTTCCACTGTAGCACTAAGGAAGGCTTCCTGGAGGAAGAAGCATCTCAGCTGTGCCTCCAGGGTTAGAAAGTCATCAAGGCAGAGACAGAGACATTGTGGCAAGCATGCTCAGCAGCTCTGCAAATACAACCATCGCAGCATGATTATCGTTAGCTTACTTTGACAAAGGACATTTCAGCAGAAGCAGAACAAAAAAAGCTTTAAAATAGAAAACCAAAGAGACGTCACCCGCAAGTTGTGTACCATATTACGTTTATTCTAAGACACATTCTTTTCCACATCTCACATGTAGATCAGGGCGACCGTACTATTGATACCATCTCATAATAAATTGACGGTTTTCTATTACTTTTCTGTTAGTTGTAAGTAGTGATTTATCTTGCATCCTATGGGAACTCGACGTGATCAAATAACAGGATTGTTTGATGAAATAGGAGGCTGACAGCTTGAGCTTCTAGGCTTCTGGGTGCTTCTTCCAGATGGAAGAGGAGTCATGACAAGGGTTCATGAGATACTCTGATATGACCTGTGGAGAACACAAGCAAAAAATATCTCTATAGAATAGACACTTGTGGTCTCATATTCACAGTGACATTTTTCACAGAGCCAAAACATGGAATTAACCCAGGCATCCATCGAAAGATGAATGATAAACAGTGTGTTGTGTTGGTGCAAAGGAATGTCATTACTCAGCCTTGAGAAGGAAGGAAATTGTGACATGTGGGACAACATGGATGAACCACGGGGACCTTGTGCTGAGAGAAATAAGCCAGCCACAAAAAGACAACTCCTAAAGGTTTCAATTATATGAGGTCTCCAGAGTCATCAAATTCCTAGAGACAGAGCATAGCATGGTGGGTGCCAGGACCTGGGGAGCAGGGACGGTGGAGGCGTTGTTCAATGTGTATACACTTTTAGTTTTTCAAGATTAGAAGAGCTCTAGAGATCGGTTGCACAAAGATGTGAGTGTACTTCATACCTCTAAACTGTGTATTTGAAGATGGTGAAGATGGTAGGTTTTAAGTTTTATGAGGGTAGGTTTACCACAATTTAAACAATAGATTTATGTAAGGAAGATGGGACTGGGAAGAAAGGGGAGAGTCTGGTGGAGAGACTGAGGCTAAGGTGTTGTGATTGAGGCAATGGTTGAAAGAGCCGATAGGCAGACAAAAAAGATGAAAAACAAAAACTCACCAGCGTCTCAAAAACCCACAGGAAAGACCAATCAAAAGGATCAAGAGGGGCACTATTATTGCCAACGATATCAAGCCAACAGAGATGGGGTTTCCTGAAAATTGGGGAAGGACGCAGGATGTCACTTCAAAACCCATTCTCTGAATTTTCTGGCCTTCCTTTTCCTACTTGATGGTCACCTACTCTTGATGTATGTCCCCTCTGTCCCTCCACCCCTACTCTAGCCCTCTTCCCCTCTCCCCCTTCCCCTCCCTTGACTCCCTCCCACTCCCCCTCCATCCCTCCATCCTTCTCCCTTCCTTCTATCCCTCCTCTTGTCCCTCCCCAGCCCCCTCTCATGGGTCATCCCACCTGTGGCAGGTGCCTCCTTCTATGCTTGAGGACCATCTCCCCCATGCCCATCTGGGCCCCAGCTCTTTCTTACCCCAGTAGAGGACCATGTCTTGGCCTCCCAGACTGCTGTGTCTCACTCGACAGGACAGGCCAGCTGCCTCCCGGGCCGCCACATCCAGAGTCACTCGGAGATACCACGTCCCATCAGCATGGGGCAGGACGTCGTCTCGCTGGGTGCCCTGTTGCTCCTGCTCACCCCGCATCCACATCACCCACACAGGCTTCGGGTAGAAGCCGGAGACGTGACACACCAGCAGCAGACGGCCGGGACCTGGACGGGGGGCAGTGGACAGCCAGGCCTCGGGCTTCACTGAGACAGAAAGGAGTAGGAAGAGTATCAGATTATGACTCTACTCTAGAGGACAGGGATTTGGAAACTCACAAGTCTGGACAGTGACCCCTTCTCCTCCTTTGGAAACCAGATTATTGATTAAGTCCCTCTCTTCATAGGTACCTCCTCTTCAATTTAAGGAAAGTGGTGGGAAGTGAAAGGGAAAAGCCTTAGGGGGGAATGGGACTAACCTTTTCTCTGCAGTTCTGTCTTCCCTGCATCGAGGACGCCCAGGAGATACCGAGGGCATGTTTCAAAGAGGAGCTTCTCCCCGATGTCCCGGATGCCTTTGTACTGACTAGTGAGCTCACAGATGCGCTGTGCCCTGCTGCCACCCTCTGGGGCGGGCACACAGGAGTAATTCTTGAGGCTCACGAAGTCCAGTCCTCCCAGAGCCCCCCGCAGGAAGCTCTCGGTGCCCCCGCCAGGGTGCAGCTGACAGCCGGCTATGCCCTGGATCTCAAAGGGGTCTAGGCACAAGGAAAGTGGACAGTTACTAAGAAGCAAAGAAGAAAGAGATGAGGGAAGAACCTGGGATTTGGGATTTGGGTGATGCAAAAGGTCTGAGGCGTGATATGATGAGCCCAAATCTTCTCACAGCAATCCGAGAGTTTTCAGGAAGCTGAGAACCAGGGATAGGTGCATGCGCAGGTCACTAACGGTAGAGAAGGAGGTGAGATGACGTATGAGGTCAGAGGGGAGAGGGGGCTGAGTGTGGAGGCTGGGGGCAGCCATCCAGGGTCAGTAGGAGGAGTGCACTGGAAAGAGGGCCAGGCAGGAGCTTCCAAGAGGGGGATTGTAGGAAGAGGTCGCTCAGGCATTGGGGAAGACAAGTGGGGCATCCTGCTTGGGGTTTGAGAGAAGCAAGTTACCCAGGAGCCAACCCGGAACTGTGACAAAGGGGCACCTTCACCTGGCAGAGCAGAGGGTGGGCAGCAGGACCAGTGTGGAATGCTCTGTGGGGGTGTGGGGTCAGGGGTGCAACTTCTCCAGAGAAGTGTGTGCGTGCAGCTGGGTGATGCAGGAAGTGTGTGTGTTGGCTGGCGGTGGGGGGGTCGGAATCAGAGGGAGTCATAGCCTGAAGCAGGGGAGAGGAAAGTCCTTGAGAACCCCCGTGTCGGAGGACTGGACTCACACTGCATCTGGAACTCGGAGGCGTGGTCCTGCACTTCCAGGACAAACCCGCTGAGATAGACCTGGATGAGCTCCTCCAGCTCCGCTACCTCCTCGTCACTGAAGTTGCCCTTGGACCAGGACTTCAGGAAGACCGCCCTGTCCGCGGCGCTGTCCCAGCCGTGAATCTGCACGTCGCCCACCCAGCCCGAGCCCTGGGTCTGGGCCCAGCTGCTGTTGGTGAAGGACGAGATCTGGATGACGTGGTAAGACGTGGGCCCCTGAAAGGCTGTGGGGAATGGAAGGGTGACAAACATGAGGAGAAAGGGAGAAGCGGGGGACGATGAGAGGACGGACACTGGGAAGATCCAGAGAAAAGGGACCCAGGGTGTGAAGAGCAACAGAGTCCAAGACATTCGTCCCCAGGGCCTCAGACCCCCTTCCCCGGTCTGGAGGGTGGTGGGCGGGGCTGGCGAAGCCTGACCCTCCAGGGCTTTATCTGGACTCCGTCCCCATGCTGGTGTGGCCTGTTGCCCACCTTCCTCACCGCCATGGCCCAGGCAGAAAACCATGGACAGCACCAGCAGCAGGAGCAGCATCTCCCCAGAGACTCTCGGAGCCGCTGCTGGTCTCAGGCTTCAGCAGCTCTGCTCAGAGCTCAACAGGGACTTCCTCTTCAGCTGGCAGATCTCCAGGTCTGACATTTGGGCTTTGAGTGAAGCAAGTTATACACACGCCAACCAGGGGAGGAGAGCTGCACCTCCAACAGCCCCGGGCCTCCCACTCGCCTCTCGTTTCCACTCCAGCCCGACTGTAACACTGACTTTTTTATTTCCCCGGCCTTCAGCTGCTCCCCCATCTTTAGTCCCTTCGTACTTACTATCTTAGAAGAGCCGCCGTGACATTGACAGGTCACGTTGCCGGCCCAGTCCTGTCCTTCCACCACCCTAAAGAAGAGGGTCATGTCAGCAGCTCCTGGAGCTCACTCTGACCTGGAAGGAAGCTTTAGGTTTATCCATCCAGCTCAAACTTCTCCCAGTCTCTCCACACTGGCCCTCTGTCGTCGCCAGTCCCCGTGTCCTCAGGGTCCCTGTTGTCTCTGTTGCTCATGTCATCCCTCTGCCTCATCCCTCTCATCCACGTTCTCATGGTGGGGGAGTGTATGTTGACCGTCACTCACAAAAAGGCAAGGTGTTGCAGACACCACCCAGAGTGCCGTGCTACAGATCCAAACCCCAAATCAAATACGATCAACACTGCCGTGTACAATGCAACAAAACTGATCTTAAAACACAGCCATTTGTGAGAGTGAAAGTGACATTTTCTACTGGCATATGGTCTTCTTTTCAGTAGCTCTCTAGCTTTGGAGCTTGGAGTAACAAATCTTCTTGAGGCCCAGAGAACCTAGGGAGTCAAAGGTAGATTTCTCTAGAAGGTTCACAAGCAATAGAGACTCTCTCCAACCTCGATCTGCATTTTGGCCTTTCTGACACTAAATGAAAGATCACTAGGTGACCAAGGAGCTTGTCACTTCTCACCAAAAGTTTAGAGGCGGTTGTCCTAAGACGCCGTCCTGTCTTCTCTGAGAACGCCCTTGGCACATGGTAACAATATATAGAGCATCACTGAGTGGACTATTAGGTCCCTAATCAATGTTAGCTGTAAAGAGAATCCTTGGATTTTCTCCAATCAGGAAGAAATGACAAATTTGCATAGATCTACATATCATCTAGCAGAAAGGTGGTAATAACATCCAAGCATAGGGGCCTTCACCAAGATGATCCATTCATGTAGATGAAAAATGCAAAATGAGGATTGTAACGATCTCTATGCCTGGAAATAAATGGCTCACGATATTAAGAGTGGCCTTTATCCAAGACTCACAATATTAAGAGCAGCCTTTATCCAAGACTGATCACAACGTATGTGAGCCAGGGCAATATTCCGGAAATCCAATTCCTCTTATAAGCTCATTTGCTTTTTGGGTCACAGCCAATGACAGCAGAGACTTAGTCTTACTTGCCGTCAACATTGTCATTTTTCTTTTCTCTGCGAGCCTTGAGTCTGAATAGAGCGCCCAAGACTCTGTTGGGTGCGCTGTTGGTTCGCTGGCATGCACATATGTTAAAACTTAGTGGTGTGTGAGCATAGTGAGCAGACTGATTCTCCCACAGGACAGATACTCCCCTGAGAGCCACATGGCAGCACGGGGAGGCAGGGCAGCTGGGCTGGGAGAGGATGCCGGTGCATGACCGTGAGCGCCTGCCCTCCGTATCCTGGTGCACACTCAAGGGGAACCTGAGAACTTCAGCCTCATTCCAGGGCCAGGCACCTAACAGGTGCTTCTGCCACCCCTCTCTCCTCCCCACTGTATGCTGCCCCTCTCACCACCACCCCTGCTCCATGCAAACCAGACCTCAGGCATTCCTGCAAGAGGTACACACAAAGCTTGGTTGTGACACAGCTTCTCCACACTCGGGCTATAAATTCTCCTCCCCAAATGGCCCATGGCTCCCAAACAAAAGCCTGAGGGGACATGGATCTCTGGACATCCAGTGTACTCCGGTCAGGAAGCTCAGATGACGAGGTCCTGCCTTTGCTGGTGAAAAGGAGAGAGAACAGGATTAATGGGTGAAAACTTACCTCTGAGTCCTCCAAGATCCCCACAATAGAAATATAACCCTCAAATTCTACCCCAAAAGCAAAGAAGATAAACATCTTGGAGCCAAACGTGAGATTTCTGCAGACTAGGGGCCAGCAGGCGCCCCTCCCCCGAAGTGCAGGCAGCTGCCCTAGGCCCCTGCTGTGCACGTTCTGCGTGGGAGTCTTGGTCACAGCACCTGGGGGCCCTAAACTGGCCAGAGGAAAGTGAGCAAAGGAGCAGCCCGTTGTATTGCTTTCTTTCAAGTTCTGTGATTTTAACCAAAGAATAAAAATTAACAACAGATCCAAAAACTACACGTGTGTCTTGACCTACTTGTTTATTATGCACTCATTCATTTATCCAGCAAGTATTAATGGGGCACCTACTGTTTGCATCTGCAGCAGCTCTGCGCTACCTCTTCACCATCCAAATTCTCATCGCCCATCCTGCCCGGTCCCAGACTTGGGAGTCAGTTCACAGGCTCCCTTGTAAGTTCAGGAAACGATTGGCTTAATTTAGCCCAAGGCCCACAGATGCTTAAGAGTCAGAAAGAACCTCAAATTTGATCTTCAAGGGGCTGACTCCTGTGACAGTGACCCAACTCCCCAGTACTGGGACACAGAGAGGTTCAAATTTCTGAGATAGACTGAGCAGAAAACCCACTGTTTTTTACTTTCTTGGTGGGTCCAACCAAACTGCATGTTTTTGGGTTTTGACTTCTTCTTTGTTTATGTGATGTTGTTCCTGCGGGGGTGCTTGCTTTCTGCTGCCATCTGTCTATGAAGAATGCTCGCGGTGAGGTCCACACAATCCCGACAGCGTGTACAGGTCTGAGTACGTCTGAATTTCAAATTCAAGTGCCAAATTCTAGCTTATTATCATCCCAAATCTACTGTTGAAGAGGAAACTTCTAGTATTCTATTTGTTATGACTTTGTAGGCCATTTTTCATCTCCAAAGATTTTCCACATTTCCTTCCATTCTTTTCAAAATGGAGCATCTTGTACTTAGAGTCCGGAGTTTCACACCATAGTGTGAATATGACATCACAGCGTGACTATCTAATTCCTTATTTGGTTCTTATTGAGGTGAAATACAATATAAAATTGTTTTAAAGTGTTCAATCCAGTGGCATCTAGCACATTTCAATGGTGTGCAACCATGAGCTCTAACGACTTCCCAAAAACGTCTGTCTCTGCAAGAGAATATCCCACATCCAACATGCATCCGCGACCTCCAGCCCTCCCGCATGCCAACCTCCTGTTAACTGATAACTGTCCTCATGTCCATGGACTTACCTATTCTGAGACTTTCATATACATGGAACACACAACACGAGCACTGTCAGGTCTGGTTTCCTTCACAGAGAATTGTGTTTCTGGGTTCATCCACGTTGCATCATTGTATCTTTCCTTTTCTATGATGGAATGATGTTCTGTTGTATGTATCTACCACATCTGTCTCGCCCTTTATCCGCAGATGGATATTTGGGCTGATTCTTCCTTCACCACAGTGAATAGTGCTGCATACCCATATTTGTTGGAACATCTGTTTTCTGTTGTTATGGGGTTATACTTAGAGGTGAAAAGTCTGGGTCAAATGGTTGATTCTTGGTTAACTTTTTGAGGAACTGCCAAACCATTTTCCTCAGCAGCTCAATCACTTTACGTTCCCCTGACCACATGAGAGGGTTAGAATTTTACAGAGTTACTGTATTAGAAGGAAAAGCGAATACATTTTTAAATTATGTGTTTATTTACTGGGGCATTTGGGTGGCTCAGTGGGTTAAGCCTGGGCCTTCGGCTCGGGTCATGGTCTTGTTGGGTCCGTTATCAAAGGAATGAGACTGAGACAAAGTGAAAGTTATGCAAAGCTTTATTCTATGCCAAGCATTAGAAGTCAGACTGACCGGCCAGGGCTGCCTCCAAAGAGAGCAACGACCCCTCAGTCTTACAAGCTAGTTTTATAGGGCACAACTGCAGACCTCTACGTATGTGGCTTTGGCTGATTAGATGTTTCCACCTGTCTGGCCTTGTTTTAGGTGTGTGTTTTAGTAACGGTTACCTGGAACTGATATCAGTAACTGCTGAGGCGTTTATTAAACAACAAAATCTCTACCTAGGCAACATGGAGTTCCTATGGTTAAGTAGACCCAGGCAGGCCCTAGGGGTTTAACAGGTTTTATTGTGGAATCGGCCCCAACAGTCTCAGGGTCCTGGGATCGAGCCCCACATCAGGCTCTCCACTCAGCAGGCAGCCTGCTCCCCGCCCTGCCCCACCCTGCCTGCCTCTCTGCCTACTTGTGATCTCTCTCTCTGTCAAATAAATAAATAAAATCTTAAAATAAAATAAAATATGTGTTTATTTACTAACTTAAAATAAACTGAATGTGTATTTTTAAAAATATAGTGATAATAGCGGCTTTGTAGTTGCCATTCTCTTTAATATTTGACTTGATAGAAGGCAGCTATATTTTCATAACTGCTTCCAAATCCCGTCTGATGCCACATGACATGCCTACAGTCTCCGGAGAACAATACACATGGAAACATCCTCGTGGTATTGTCGTAAGAACGGTCTTGAACTCATGGAGCCTCTGGGCGGAGGTCAGGAGCTTCCAGGTACCCCTGAACACACCTTGACACTA